TCCCACTGTCCATGTCACTGAGAAAGATGTTAAAACAGCGCCAGTCCCAGTACCAACCCCTGAGGGACACCGCTCATCACTGGTCTCCACTTGGACATCGAGCTGTTGACCACAGTTGCCTGGTGCTCTGAATTTGAACAGGACCCACAGAAGAGGGGTTGTTTAAACCCTGCTTACATGTGAATTGGGAGATTATTTTGGGAAGAAGAGAATTTGTACAGTCAGCAAGGCTACGGTGAGGGAGATGGCTGCCTCTGCAACCACTCTGTGTGGCTCTCAGCTCTGCTGTAAAGCCCTGGAGAAGTGGGTTCCATCCACATGTGGGTTCCATCCACATGTTTTGAGGCCAACAGAACTTTAAAGTATAATGATGTTGAGTTATAGAGGACAGACTGAGTCTCTCTGTCACAGTAGGAGGACTCATGGGAGCAGGGTTTTTTGTTTTCCCTTTAAATATGTGGTGGGAAAAGGTTTTTGGGAACCGTCTAGGATAGTGCTGCTGTTACAGAGGATAACATCTGTAGAACTGGTCTCTTAATTTTGTGAGTTGAAGGATTTCTCTCACCCATCATATCTAAACAGATTAAATAGCTCTTAGAACTCCAAACAGAAGAGTTTGAGGAGGAGGAAGGTCTGGGGGCTTGAGTGATGCAGAAGAAAGGAGAAGGGTGTACTGTAAGCTTTGCCCATGTGAAAGTTGCTGATATCAAATAGGTGTAAAAAAAAAAAAAAGATACTGTTTGTTAAACTGTGTAACTTCTCAGCAGTCATTCACTTGCTCATTCAAGGAATAAGGTAAGATAATCAAGAGCTTGTACTGCCCGTGTTTATCAAATACGTGTAAAAATAAAATATTGTTTGTTGAACTGTGTAACTTCTCAGCAGTTATTCACTTGCTCATTCACTTGCTCATTCAGGGAATAACGTAAGATAATCAAGAGCTTGTACTGCCCGTGTTTCTCGCCCTGTGGTAAAACAGCAATTCACTTGTGCTCTGTCCTTTCCAACTGAGGGATTTGGAAAAACCCTCTTATATTGAAGAAACTGTGAGCAGATGTCCCTGGGGTTTTGCAGTGGTGAAACTGAGAGTGAGAATACTTGACATCCAGAAGTTTTCCTTGTGTTTTCATGTTGTTATTTTTTTTTTCTTCTCTTTTTCCTTTCCCCCAGCACTAGGCCAGCCTCTGCTTGTAATATGTTGTTGGTTTTGTTTTTCTTTCTCTTCTCACTTCTTTTTCTCCACCCGGGAGCCACATGCTGCTCCGTTCTCTTCCTTGTACCACCCTTTGGTCTGGTTTTGCATCCCTTTCCCTTAATTAAAACAATTAAACTTTCCTCTGTCCCTTCCTTCACCCTGTTCCTCTGACAGCAGGTAGCAAGAACCATTTCTCACCACTCACCTCTCTGCTCAGTGGGAGAGGAACCCAACGATGACGTGATGTTCCTTGCCACCTCGGCCATGCCTGCAGCTCCAGGAAGCCTGGTTGATGGGGGAATCTTTGGTTGGACCTTTTTTCAAACCCCTTTTGGGGGGTAAACCAGGGTGTTAAAGCAGCAACTGTGGTGCCTGCTCCTGGGGAGGGCCGTTTGGCAGGCACAGAGCTGCTAACGTTTATTTTCCTTTTGCCTCCCTATTTTCAGCATATTCCTAGCACCCTCCCAGCAATTTGCTTTCTCATGGTTAAATAAGCATCAGTGCAAAGAATTGGGCTCTCAGCTGACATTTCTGCTTATGTCATTTCAAATGCTTTCCTTGTGCCACTTTGGTACCAACTACTGACACCGCGATGTGCAAAGCCCATCGGTGAGGCCTCGATATCTTCACGTCGCACAAGATAAGTGCTCAGTGGTGGCTGCCAAATTTACCAGTTAGGTTTTAGGCTTTTTTTTCCCCACTGCTTAGACAGAGGAGTCATTCGCATCACTTCATGGCTGGCACTCCAGCTGTCACTTAGTTCTGCTCTGTTTTATGCTGGAGAATGGCACGAGGCTGAAGCATGAGTGATGGGCACATGCCAGAACACACCCAGACAGATGCACAGCTAATTTCTTCTCACCCCTCCCAAACACCAAAACCATCCCACCATTAAAATCAATACCCCACATGCTAGTCCATCATTTAAAATTCCATTGCACAGTTGTGTTGGGAGGATGCAAGGCTTGTGGGGGGTCAAACCTCTTATTACAAAGCTCCCTGCGTGTGAAGGCTTCTCCAAAGCCTTATGGGCTGCTCAATAATGCCAGCTCTCCTGTTTCAAAGCAAGTGTGAAGAAACTGGGAACCAAATAAGTGAAGGAGATGGTGGTGCTCCTCACCAGCCATAGCTTGGTAGGCAACAGCTAGGGAACTGCTGCTTTCAGCAGAGTTTAAGGTTGCAGCTGAGTGTCTTCTGCCAGCATCATTGGCTTTTCTTAACTCCCTGCAACTGAGAGAGCCATGTGCCCTGGGTCCAAATCTTTCCAGTTAACTCTTGAGCATCAGTAGCTTGACCAAGGAAGACTTTGAAGACTGTCAAGGCAGTGTTGTGTGGTTGTAGGACTGTTGTGTCGTTGTGGGATCTGTTTGGAGTGTGACCCAAATGTAATTCCTCTGAGTCCAACCTATGGAAAAGCAGTTCCCTGGAAGCCAACAGAGATCTTGGCTTTGTAACCAGACTTCTCACTTGTGGAGAGCAAACCACTTTTGACTTTCTGCCACCCAGTAATTCTCCCCCAGCGAAACATCTTCCCATACTGATTGTGAAATTCATAAAGCTGTTCAACTGCTTTTTCCACCCAAACAAAAACTGTTCCTGCTTTGGTCTTTGCTCTGTAGTTAACTCCCAACTTTCTTTTGAGAACATAATGCTGACAAATTCCAGTTTCCAGAAGGATCTCGCTGCAACCAGGCTGTGTCTGGAGTAATGCTGATCTCATTTGGGTGGAACAAATTAGTTGTTGTAGAATAATCTATTACCCTGTTCCAAAGCTTCTGTCTTTCAATCTGCATGGCAGGGATTATTTACTTAAGGATTTATATGTGTGTTGGGGATCTGGTTTTGTTTGAACCTTCCAACAGAAGAAATTGCAGTCAACTTTCCAGCAGTTTGAATTGTACCTGAAGTGTTTTGCTACTGCAGAAAGACCGGGGCCGGCTTGGGACCAGCAAGGGCCACGACACAGCGTCTGAGATGACGTGGGTACAGCTCTGTGACTTCCTGGCCATCTGCCTCTGAACCAGTTCAGCAGCTTTTTAGCTGCATCGAAAGTCTTTGAGGGCAAAGCTTCAGTCATTCTGCATCATGCTGTGGTGGAGACCGAGACAAACCTTTTGACATGTTTTTTAGTGGAATTACAATGAATCTGAGAGGTCTTATGAGCTCGGCAACTTGCTGGCTCCTCTTGGTATCTTTGCTTCCTGATATTTACCACTCTACCTCCCCACCCTACACTTCTGCTCCATGGTTTGCTTGAGAATTGGCTGTATCCTTAAACAAACTTTTTGTGATGATCAATAACTCAAACACTTGAATATGGTTTTGTTAACAGAAAAAAATTTGGAGCTTGTCTAGAATTTGTTGCGCTGACACTTGGTCTGTGTTGATACGAGGTTACAGGCTAGTCTGCAAGTACCTTCTTGTGTTTTATTTGTCAGTATGTGATTCTAATTCACAAAAAATAAATTCTTCTTTCTTTTCTTTTTCCTATTCCTAGTAACGGCCTCCCCAGCTGAAGATGTCTAACAATGGAGTTGAAACAGAAGACAAACCTCCTGCTCCTCCGATGAGAAATACCAGCACTATGATTGGATCAGGAAGCAAAGACTCTGGGACTTTAAACCATGGCTCAAAACCTTTGCCTCCCAACCCAGAAGAAAAGAAAAGGAAGGACCGATTTTACCGATCTATTTTACCAGGAGATAAAAGTACAGTATTTTGTCTCTCTTTATAAACCTCCTGTCTGAATGTTGCTCTGAATGACCTTAATTCAGCACCTGGTGCTTAGTCATGGTTTAAGTTTTAGAAAATGTCATGTGGTTGTTTCCTGCATAACTGTCTTGCTCATTTTGGGGTACATAAGGTGCTGACTGAAGATCTGGTTTTTCTAATGATGAATCCTGCCACATTTAATCCATCCCATTTTGGTTTGTGCTTTTTTTCCCCTTTTTTGTTTTTAGTTCCCCTTAAATTATGAGGGCAGTGTCCCTGAAAACTGGGACTACCACCTTCCATCCTGACTTGTCCTTAATTGTCTTGAAAATCATATATTTTTGCATTTTTGTACCAATTGCCAGCTGGTCAGTTAAAGCTGGCATTGGCAGTTGCTTTGGTGGGGAGCAGGGGGAGGTCTTCTTTTTGTTTGTTATTTTAAACAGCAAATAATTTGAGTTAAGCATGACTAACAGGCCATCTCCTGCCAGACACTGTCTACTTGCTGTTAAGAATAATCCATTACTGCAAATTCTTGCACTTCTCTTGTGAACTGAAGGAATTTTCTCTTGTTATAGGGACTGTAACAGATGGAAATGGAGATAGGAACTGTGAACTGTACATGAAATTCTAATTTTTAAGATTAGGATATTTTAAAAACCTCTCTCTCTCTCTCTCTCTCATGAATCTTTTGGAGTGATGTAAGAAGAAAAAAAATCTCCATCCCCTAATATGTGCTGGGTTCTTTTTATATCTGACCTATTTTTTGGAGTTCCTCTTTCTAATACATCAGCTTTTTGTAGACTCTGCATTGCAATGATATCTGGACACTGGATAACTAAAGTCAAGCCTAGATATCTTCAACTTCCTCAGCTTCAGGTGGGAGGCTGCATCCTTAATTTTTTGTTAGTGAAAAGTCAAATTGAAGTGATACTTCCACTAATCTAAATAAACAAGATCTAGGTTTATTTTCTACAAAATATTGCGGCATTTATTATTATTAATATTATTAATTAGATACATTCAGCAACTTTGGATTATTTTACAACGTGGATTTTTGATTCTGCAATCCAGAAACCCATGAACTCAATGTTAAAAGTTTGCTGGATCTCGGTGAGAATTTCCCATTCTGAGTATTAATCCTAAAGAGCCGCAGGATTTTTGTGTCGGCTTACTTAAGGGAGTGAGGTTTTTAAATCTCTAGGCTCAACAGTTGCAGAGAACAAAGAAATCACCTGAAATTTATAAGAAAGTAAAAAAAAAATACAACCTGAAATGCTCTTTTGAACTGGATTTTTAAAGGAGAGCTGCAAAAATGAACGGTTTGGGTAAAATCAGCAGACAGGCTGCCGCTGATTTGAAGACGCCTACGTTTACTGAAGATTGGCCAACGTGGCAGATGCTTCAAGACATGAGAGATTTTTGTTTAGCCAAGCCCAGCAGAGCCTTCTGTTATAATACACCTGCCCAAATGAGAATGGTTGCTTCTGTCCTCTAATTCCTGTTGAGCAAAAAAAAAAAAACCACCCCAAAACTTTTAACACTGTCACCTTTACTTCAGATTGGTTGGTTTTCATCTTATGAAAATTTCTTCTAATCAAATTCCCAGTGCCTCCTACTGCTTAAACATTAATGAAATTCCCAGGTGTTCAGACACGTCTCTTTAGCTTGTGCCTGAAATAAATTGGGTTTGTTTATTAATTTGGCTGGGCTAAAAGAGGAATTGGGTTTTGTTCAGTTAGAGGGATGTTATTTTGGGCAAATCCATGACCTTTGGATCCTTACCGAGGGGAAACCAGAGATTTGTGTGTAACCTCTACTGGGGTTGCAAAAAACCTGCTAAGATCTGAAATGCTCAGCAGTTAATTTTGCTAGCGAATGTGGATGTGGGCTTTTATGCTGTAGCCTGAGAGATGCTGAAGTTGATGCTGTCAGTCCCTTTGGAGAGGTGGTAGGTCTTTATTCTGAGCAGGGAACAGTACTGGAGCAGGTACTTTACAAAGGATGGATGGATGGGAAAGATGGTACAGGGGTTGTGCTTTATCAAAAGTGCAGCTGGAACATGTGGAGTCCTGCTATGGAACAGGCAACAGACCTGTTGAGAGCTTGTGGGTCTGGATCAGAGAGGAGACCAACAAAGGGGGACATCTTGGAGGCAGCTTTTATAGATCACTGGGTCCAGAAGGATGGTTCTAGCTGAAGGCACTTAGGTGAGTGTCTCTGCCATTGTATTACCCCTGGGCATGAACAGAGCTGTGGTTGCTGGCTGAACGGATATTGGAACAGTTGGTTGCAGAGAAGTTTGTTGGAATTTGGGTGTGTGGCAGGGAGCTCAGGCTGTCTGAATGTGGAAATAAAAACCACTTAAGTGTATTTACTTCTGGATAGCAACTTAATACCCTTTGGCTTTTTATTTTTTTTTTTTAGGGATACATTCAAATCTACTGTGGCAGTCATCCTGGCCCACACGTGAGTGTAGAGCACACGTGCGGCACTTCTGCATGGGGGTGCTGGTACAAGTGCCCTCTTAGAATCATAGAATCACAGACTGGTTTGGGTTAGAAGGGACCTTAAAGATCATCCAGTTCCAACCCCCTTGCTATAAACAGGGACAAATTCCACTAGACCAGGTTGCTCAAAGCCTCATCCAGCCTGACCTTCAACACTTCCAGGGAGGGGGCATCCACAACTTCCTTGGGCAACCTGTTTCAGTGTCTCACCACCCTCACAGTGAAGAACTTCTTCCTAATATCTCATCTAAACCTCCCCTCTTTCAGCTTAAACCCATTTCTCCTTGTTTTGTCATTAACTGCCCTTATGAAAAGTCCTTCCTCTTCTTCCTCACCTGAGTGATGGGCTTTGAGGCTGAGCTGCCACCTTACTCTTTGACTTGGAGTAATGGACTGATCCTGAGAGAAGGCTTAGGGGAGATCTTATAGCGGCTTCCAGTACCTGAAGGGGGCCTACAAGAAAGCTGGGGAGGGACTTTTCCTAAGGGCAGTTAATGACAGAACAAGGGGAAATGGCTTGAAACTGGAAGAAGGGAGGGTTAGATTAGATATTAGGAAGAAATTATTTGGTGTGAGGGTGGTGAGACAGTGTCCCAGGTTGGCCAGAGAAGCTGTGGCTGCTCCTCCCTGGAAGTGTTTAAGGCCAGGTTGGATGAGGCTTTGAGCAACCTGGTCTAGTGGAAGGTGTCCCTGCTGCTGGCAGGGGGGTTGGAACTGGATGAGCTTTAAGGTCCCTTCCAATCCAAACCATTCTATGATTCTATTCTGTGATCCTGTAGACAGGACTGTAGAACATGGTGCCTCTGATGACTCTCTCTTCATCTCTTTTCCTCTTGCTTTCCATCCACCACTACTGCACGCTGCTTTTTCTCTATACCTGCTGGATGCAGATGCTTGTTCCTGTTTTTTGGCAGGCCTCCGTGCTGCAGATGCTCACCATCTGCTAACCAGCAGCTGCTTCTGTCTCCTCCTAGCTTTCCCCTCTGCGATGGCTCCTCCAGCATCGCAGCTTTCTCCTCTCCTTCCCCATGGCAACTCTGAGTCTTCTACGATTCAGCTTCCACCCCTCCATCCCCTTTGTTTGAAAGAGGGATTGAAAACAATCTGTTCCATCTTCATGTCCCAAATGGAGCATCTGATCCTTTTCTTTCTCCAAAATTACTCTGTGCAACAGTAATTTTGTAATGCCACAGAGAACAGTGTTAGAGCTGATACTGAAGGAAACAGGATTTGGTCCTTTGGGGCAAGACCTGACCTTCTCTACAGAGCTAGCCACCAGCAGTGTCTTAAATAATTGCATATTGAGCATTAGCCTCACAGGTTTCTGAAATACCTGGGGTTTGGCATTGCCAAAAATGCACTGGGGAATGTCAGCCACGATACAAATTCTATTTGGCTTTAGCTACAGAAGGTAGCAACTGGGAAACATAAGTGGTTTAGTCACCTTCTCCTGACTCTGCTTATTTTATAACTGCAAGCAGCAGCAAATCTGAGTAGTACGTGGATGGTTCTTAAACTGTTCCCAGTTTCTTGGGTACAGTAAATATTAAAAGGAAGGTGGAGTCCTTAATAAGTCATGAATATGGATGAACTTAATCCAAGGCATAATGATAATCTTGTTTGAAGACCTGAAGACTTGAAAATTTGCAGCGTGCATCTGCTTTGATTTATTTCCTTTCCTGTTTCGTCATGACTTCTGCTCCTCACCTGCCAGATTCTGCCCTCTTGCTTTGTGTCTTCAAAGCTCGTTATTAAAACCACATTTAGTTCATTTTGTGAGCAGAAAGATGGAAATGGTTTTGCTCATGTAGGATTTTACAGCAGAAGCACGCACGTTATATTCAGTTTTCTTTATAAACACTTGTTTTGAGGAAGTGGAATGAAGGAAGCAATTTATAAGCAGTATTTGTAGTTAATTTTATCCCTGTCTTAATATGAGAGGCGACTGTATATTTAACAGCACTTTTTTTTTTTTTTTTAAAAGGTTGCTTTAAACAGCAAATAAAAAATGTGTTCAAAACTGCATGGCTTCCACTTACTGCCACTGTAGTGCTTTTGACTCTGACCTGTCTAAGTTTGAGTGGATATTTTAGGTAAATAGCTCTTGTTGCTGTTGAGTCTAGCCCTACCCTACTTGACATACCCAAAATATCAGTTTCCTTGTCTATCAGGCTTGTCCTGTGAATTTTGTTGGCCACTCACTGTGGCTGTTCTTAAATAAGGTAAAAAAAATTTTAAACTTGCTGTTTGTCTGCTCCAAATCCTTTAAGTAGCAAAAGAAGGGTGTTCTTGGGTAGGTAAATTGGAAGCTATTGGAGAGATTTTAATTCTTGATGGATTTATGGATTTTCTTTTTGTTATTTTCTCTTTCAGCAAATAAAAAGAAAGAGAAAGAGCGGCCAGAGATCTCCCTGCCTTCAGACTTTGAACACACGATTCATGTGGGGTTTGATGCAGTCACGGGAGAATTCACAGTAAGTGAATCTGGAGGAAAGGAGGACTGTGTGGTTTGGCTTATTGCTGAGAGGAGCCAGGACCCATTAATCTTTCATACAGTAATGCTGGAAAGGCTATTACCATCATCTAGTTTGATCTCCTTTGAAATGTGTCTGCAGAGGTTACCCACTAATTCAACAAACCATGATATAAGTGTTGGCACATCCCAGGAGCCCAGGCTGCCAGCAAACTTTTCCTTTCTTGTTTTTATGGATAATGTGGACAGGAAAACATGGTATATCTCTCCTCCCTTCCCCTCTCCTCTTCTTCTCGAGCTGGATTAGGTCTACAGCATAGTGTGTGTCTACTCACTAGGGCTCTGAGAGGTCCCCTTTAGGAGGCACATAATGATTTAGGACAGAATGTGTGTGCTGTCCTAAGGCTAAATCTCAGATGCTTTTGTTTTGTTTTTTAATTGACATGCAAAATCTATGAAGACAAAGTTGTATTTCATCATATTATTCTTCTTAATTTGATTACGAGATAGTATTTAATAGCAGCAGAAGTTGTTTGTGAGCAAGCTGTTTTTACCTGTCTTTAATATGCTGCTTTTTCAGGGACTTTGCCCTCCTAACCTGAATCATGTGCACGGTTGTGTTTTGCGTGTCAGCCTCTAGACTTCCCCAAGTATGTCCCAGTGGAGCATTATCTGAGTGGTGGATCCAGCCATCCTTTAGAACAGGGAGGGTAACTTTATTGATAAAGGATCCCACTCACTTGCCACTTCATCTTACTCTTCTGATGGTGAAAGGTACAAGTCAGGTTGTACTCCAGATTTATTTATTTTCTGGCTGAAATGATGTCCCTGTAATGAATGTGAGGTTAACATCTCTGCTTTCCCAGCTCTAGTTACAGTAGGCAACAAATGGCTGTTATCAAGGAACTATCGCTACAAGAAAACCCAAATGAATGTTACAAGTCTATTGTGCTGGGTGATACATGGTGTATGTCACAGAATCCCAGAATTGCCTCACTTGGAAAAGACCTTTAAGCCTCATAGAGTCCAACCATGAACTCAACACTGACAAGTCCCCTATGACTAACCCATGTCCCTCAGCACTGTGTCTACACGACTCTTCAATCCCTCCAGGGATGGGGA